AACAATTAGGAAAGTGGTTTTCTAAATTGGTCGAATAAACTGATCATTTGAAGTAGATGTATAACTATTGAGATTATATAGGTACTGACGTAATATCCAAATCCAAGATCTCATTCGAGAGATTAGTTAATGGAATGATCATATCTGCATGGTATGCACAAACAAAAAAGATTTACTCTTTTACCTTCACCTATTTCTAAGCCTGACCAGGCTTATTATTAGACATATCTCGTGATGTGTGAGTACTCTTGTCCAGTAGATATTAAGTCAAGAATGATCAATTAAAAGCATTTAATTAATTAGAATAATTAATTATAACAAATTAATTACTTGTAAATTAAATCGTAATATGTTACGGGTCCACTGGTAGGTAATTGGTGAACCTAAGAGATCATACACAAAAGCAAATAAGTTCATAAGTTAATTAATTAATTGGTTAATTAATTATGGTTTAAATCAATTTAAAGAGTTAAATCGGATGGTTAAAGGATTTGTCATTTAATTGACTTATAATGAAAAATTAATAGATTTATAATTAAAATATTTAATTAATTAATCTTACCCAGGGATGCATGTATTAAGTCATCATGGAGGTTTCCTAATCTATTAGAAATCTATTTATTTAAATTAGGAGATAATATTTAGAATACTAAGATAATTGATTTTTGAAATCAGATAATATATATATATATATATATCTTAGATAAAGATTTGGATAAAACTTACATATACTTTATGAATAGGAGAGGATGAACCATTATCCTAGTTGGACTTAAAAGAAGGACTTATATATAGACTCCTAAGAAAGTTAAGAGATTTTTCCACTAAAGTTAAATCAAAAGGAGTTTTGATTAAAAAGTTTCCATCGAGTGAGAGAAAAAGATTGAAGTCACTAGTATAACCCAAAACTCTAATGACCATTTGTTATATGAATACCTTTAGAGGAAGTATATTTAGGCTTTTCATGAATCTCTTTCGGTGCACAATTTTTGCTGGTTGTGGCTAGGAATTCAAATTCGTCAATTCCTACTTTAGTTGAAAGCTTCAAAGGTATATCATTCCTCTTCTTGGATTAATTTATACATAATAAATCTTTAGTATTTCAGGATGTTGTTTGCATGTAATACAATCAAAAAATTTTAAATTTTCATTGTGCAAACATTCTTCGGTTTACATGAATCCAATAGAGATTTATATATGTTAGGGCTTATTTGGTTTGCGAAAATATTTTCTATTTTCATTCTTTATTTCTCTTTTCTAAAAATCATTTCATTTTTAGATTTTAAAATTTTAGGAAACAAATTTGGTTTCATTTGTTGTTTTTTATTTTCAAAAATTGAAAATAACGAAAATGTGATTGGTTTACTAATTTTTAATCACTTAAAAATAAGAACTCAATCGAATAAAATCACAATTTTAGGGTCTTTGGTAGGGGATTTAAGTGAAGAAATCAAAAGTTTTGGGGTATAAATTGAGACATAAAAAGTTTAGAGACTAAATTGAATAATGGAAGGAGATGAGAAACCAAAACTAAAATTTTCAAAAATTGCAAAATAGTCTTCTTATCCCTTCAATCAGGTCACAATTAGGTCTAACAAATCTGATTGCAACCTGGCTTCAACAATGTTGCTAAATCGGTCATTTTTCAAGAAATTTTCTCGTGCATTTTACTTTGTGTAATTTGAATAACAAAAAACTTCAATCAATTTGAAGAAATTCATGCATCATTCATCGGAAAACTAATCACAATCATCAACAACGAAAGTATGAAATAAGGTCTTTGCAATCATTTAACAAACAAAAATTCCAATATCAAGTGGGAAAAGGAAGATGGATTTCAGAGTAATGGTAGTTGGGACTCACCAATCCTACCCACGTCAAGCACATATGTCCAAGATGCCAAAGCCATGACAGTAACTCCGGCAGACGTCAAGGACTACCCAAACTCATATGTATGATCAACAATAATAACTCTAGTCAAGAACACCGCAAAGACAAAAAAGACAAAGTAAGGGAGATGAAGGCTACTATTCAATTTAATCACAGTTGTCCCACTGCATTTTCACCTTCTCATAAAAAACAAAGAAAACCACTTTTTGTTATTTTTTGTTTTCAACTGATTTTCAAAAAAAGATTTTCTAAATATGAAAATTAAATTAGGCAATCAAACATTTTTTCAAGTCTTGGGCCAACCAAACAGGCCCTTAGGGTTTTGTTTTTTTTTAATAAATAAATATATATAATAAAATTATATATATGTAATCGATTTGATTTGGTTCAGTTATTTTTTGAGAAAAATTGATAACTAAACTAGTTGATCAGTTTTAATGTTCTAAAAATTGGTTGGATCCAGTCAATTTGAATTTACGAACACCTTATGCTCTATAATGCAAAGAAGAAGAGCAAAGCTGAGGTGTACACCCTAAAACATATGAGAAAAAGATCTAGGGCATGCACCTTAGACGTTAATGGTGCTCGTCAAGAAGAAGACCAAAAGCAGAAGAACAAAGTCAACTGGTTGTCACTCATAGAAGTTGAACTTCCCATCAAAGTTATGTTAGGGTTTTAGTTCAAGCCCAAAGTCAAACTAGACGTGGCGAAAGGCGTCAAGGCAAGGCAAATCAAAGAAGAAGACTCTTGGGCCTGTAAAGGAAGAAGAGTAGAGACTTCTTTCCACACTACAAATGGACGAGCACATAAACCCAAAAGTTTCAAGCAAGAGAAACAAACAAGGAGACTTCACTCTACAACTCTTACTCTCTATTGTATTCTCTCACCACCAAATGGAAAAACTTAAATAGAGAAAGGCTATGCCATGGCTAGATGGAATCCTCAACCAAAGATGCTATGGCATGCTTAAGGTTTTCGAAACAAGACAATCAACAATAGAAGGCTTTGCACTATGGTCCTTTAAGTCTTCTTCTTAAATCATTCTAGTCCTTCAACTCTCTAGTCCTCAATTTAACTATGGAAACTTCTAATTTTTTCATTTAAACTCTTATAAAAAGCCCTATAATTCTACTTCCTTCAATTGAGTCTCCACAACTTTTCACACATAGAAGACCACATTTATCCCAAAAATCTTACGCAAAATTGGGGTATTACATAATGTTTCACAACAAAGAAATTCTGCTTCTCTAAAAATACATTTAACATAGAATTTTACTAACGGAAAATTCAACTTGGAGATACCATGACTTTTTATTGGTTGGGCCAAATAACTGTAAAATTTTATCAAGAGGTTAATTCATGAGCTAGGAAGTTTAATCCAAAAATCAACCCATTCAGACAAAACAATTTTTAGATCTAATCTCGCTATTTGAGCAAACTAAATTCTAGATAATTCAATTTTAAAAATTCATAACTATTTTTTATAAAACGAATTATGAGGCCTACTCTTTTGACAAGGCATTCATAGAAGTTCTAAGAGAAACATATTTTGTCTAAATCAAAGAGATAAACATGCCGACATACAACATATGTCAAGTGCAAAAAATTTTGGGAAGGATGAAATGCAATCCATATAAACGTGAAATGATAAAGTATATCCAGTATCCAATAACACATAAAGAACTTATTATAGCTCTTTTTAAACCAAGCAAGCAGAGAAACATGAACTTTAATCCCCGCCATCTCGCGTGGGCTAGATATCTGCTGAGTCAGATTATCCTCATGTCCAAACTTGAAGCAAAGGAAGAAGGTGGTTGTCTCCATTTCTTCAAGGTCATTCTAAAGATTTTGTCAAAACCTTTAGAAAGGACGAATCCATAAGTCATGATCATAAAACACATCTCATGATTTCGTCCCAAATCTATTTTGAAGATAGACAAAAGGCCAACATGCAAAGCACATAGGGCTCAATCAGAAAGCAAAAGAGAGTGAGTATGAGATGACAAGGTTTTAAATAACTGTGAGTGTTTTCTCCACAAGTCAATCGGGAGAGAAGCACAAAAGAACCAGTTCTCAACTATCACATAGGAGAAAAGGGTGCTAATGCTACTGAAGAAGATGAAATAAGAAAGACGGGCGCCCGTTCGCACCGCAGAAATGAAGTTGACAGTTGGGCGGAAGGGAAGAACGCGAAAGAAAAAGTCCACACTGACAAAAGATATTTTAGTAAATGTAAAGTTCTCAATTGACGAAATTTTTGTAAGGTGACTTGGATTAGAAGGAAACAATGCATTTTCGAACCTGAAGGCCCTCGAAATTACCAAGCCCGATTTTATTTTGCCTATGGTGTCTAGATATCTTCTTTTTAGGCTATTTCCTGGCTCCACCAAATCAACAACTCGGTGATATTTTGGCAGAAAATGTAACATGGAAATCCAGATTCAGCATTATACGGGCAATTTTAGTATCACATTGTTTTTGAAGCCAAAAAGATTTACTTTTAAATACGATAAACGGCCAACAAATGATGGGGCTGCTTTACCTTTCCAACATTAAGGACACTAGCATCTTGTGAACATAAATAGACAGATTCATAATAACTGAAAATCAAATGTTTACCCTCGTGTTTTATCTTAGGAATATGCCTCAGAATTGTGATTCATTTATATGAAGAGAGCATAGAATGGGTTTTGGACGTTATCCATATAGATCAAATTAAGTAAATTTTATAAAATTTAGTGCAGTTCTATCAATAAACTGTTATCAAACGAGAGCAGCGCTGGTATAATATTGTTGGTCCTACAAAACTGTTTCATAAAGCATAAATGGACTGCTCCATGTTATCTATTTAAGAGAACACAAGTAAACAATGATGGAAGAATTTTCATACTGCCAATTTCCATGAAATGAATTGTACAATCTGCATAGTTGCATATATAGACCGCACCTGATAGCTGCCACTTTTTGCTGTCAAAAAAACTGCTGCAGATGTACATAATTACAAAGGTAGCTTAAGAACTGGCATAAACAGGATTTCAATCAAGAAATCTGTGCATTCTTCTTGGTTAATTACGGTATTAACATTAAATTTGATGGAGAGAGCACCAAGATTAATCCTTGTTACGAGACGAGCGGTCTTTCCTATGCCCGCCAAGAATACGAGAAATTTGAAGACCTCTGCTAAATGCTTGGTTGAACAACATACGAGTCTGGAACTCTGAAACAAAAGGAAACCAGGCAAGAAACGCAACAGGGGTGAAAAGAAGCAAGCCCATTATAATTTCATATCCACGAGCAAGTGTTCGAACTGATCCCCAGAACCCAGCTCGTTGTACAAGAGGCTTGCATGCTTGAGCAATCTGGAAAGTACCAGAGGAAAAAGGAACTGAATTGAGTTCATACATATGCACGACAAAGCAACCTTGTAAATATGTATTACATTCAGAATTGACAATGCACATACAGACAAGGCTAAAAGCCTAAAAGTAGAATGGAGAACTGCAATGCTTATTCTAAAAGGTACGAAATATGAGATCAAAGGGTCTCCTTGGTGATCATTTAACTAAATATTTAATCTTTTATGTCCAATAAAAGGATTCATATCTGAAACAGCAGCAGCAGCAGCAAATAGTAGCGACTTTTCATCATGGAAAAAAGAAATAAATGTATTCATGTTCTATACTTGGCAAAGTACACAATTTCCTATGTCCCAAAATGCTCTACATCAGTGTTGTTAGATTTGTATGATTCACAATTCAAATGATGCAATTTGATATGATTCATGAAGCTAATGGTTCGTATCAGCTGTTGAATCATATAAGCATCTGAATTATGCGATTCATGCACAAAACAATACGGCTCTCAATACAATTCATGATTGGACAATTTTTTGTATTTTTAAAATATATTTTGTTGCCCAAATCAAGGGTTACTAATTTCATAATCTTTTACACTAAATACACTACACAAATTGGCATAAGTTTCAATGTTAGACACTTTTTTATATTAAAAATATAACAATGATTGTCACTTTTTTATTAGTTTAATTTATAAATTTATCTCAAGTGTTGCCCAAAATAAAATTTTTGTCCTGTCCCTATGTAACATGTAAGTATTTATTTGAACTTTTGAGTATTTTGTAATGTTTTAGGTATGAAATAATGTTTATTTAAGTATTTTATTGATATATTTCTGAACTGTATAATATATTATGATTCACACTTCAAAAATTGAACAAACAATTCTCAAAACAATTCACGATTTAACAACTATGCTTTGCATTGTTCTAGCATACTTCACATACAAAGGCACCCATACATGTATGCATGTAAGAGTAAAGGAAGTGGGACACAAATGGGACAAAAATATCCAGACCGCTTCTCAAGGTATGTTCCTTTAGATACTTGGTTTCTTAATCAATGGTAGTATGATTTTAAGCAATCAAGATCTTGTATGCAAGGACACCATTAGTCTACTAAAGGGTGCGCATCACAGCTCGAGCACTATCATAAATCATGCTAAATTTAATTATTTGTAACAAATTAAGTGCAAGGGATAGGAAAACACATTTCACTGACCAGAAGCAAACCCCAGCCAGTTGGCATGAAGGCAAGAATGCAAACTACGATATCCTGCAATGTCATATGGGGTAGGGCAATCAGAGTAACAAGAATGGAGACAAATGTAAGGAAGATCAACCCCTTGATTAGCCTAAAAACGAGCTGAAAATTGGCGCTGAACTTTCGCCGTCCAACAGAAACAGTCTGCAAGGAAAGGACAAAAGAAACAAACATCTTGATAAGCAACAAAAAAAGTGATAGTAAGTACAGAGATTTGAATGATACAAACATTCAGAAGATATTGCTACATATATTGCAAGTCGATATAATGAAATAGCAAAATATTTATGCCATGGAAACCATTACATTGCAAAGAAAATTTCTAAGAGAAAAGTGCCAATAGACAACTGATCAAGTAACCAAGCAATCGAGCACCAGAAAATATATGTGCACAAATGTATGTGTAAATATATTTCTGAGCAGGGAAACATGATTATACTAGTGCAAGTGCACATACAGGCATTAAATGTAGACCAGAAAGATTCCATGACTGTTACTGTTCAAAGATTCAGACAAAATTTTATAAGGAAATAATTTTCCAAGTCAAGGTTTCTCAAAATATTTGCAGCAGAATATAAAGGTATTTGCCTCTTACCTTCATCACAAACAATATTAGAAAAATAACAAGCCATGATACACCATACACCTGTTAACCATGGAAAAGTGAAATTAATTAAATAGTACAAATTAAGTTGTCAATTTGAATGAGGAGATACGCATGATAAATTTGAAGTGTTTTTACGTACCAAAATACTTTGTGTAGAGTTGGTAATGGTCAAGTGATAAACAAGCCCATACTGATATATGAAAAAACGTAAAGCTAACAATATCTCCACAGCAATACCACGCTTTCCAGAATGCCACAGATGTTCTTGCTCCTGCTCCCACCAGGACTCCCAACTCTTTTCTGGGAGCACACCAATACCACCTTTGTTGCTTATCCACTTATTCCAATCAGTCCAATCATCAACAATCTTTTGCCACTCAAAACCAGATGGATTGAAGAGGAAAGGAGCAAAAAGCCAGGTGCCCACCATGAACCACATCGATATTGTGATGAGAATATAAGCAAGTGCACCTCTATAGTCAGAACCAAAGATTTGATAGACAATTAGCAGAATCATTAGCTCGAGCCCCTTCACAAAGTGGCTACGTGAGTAGAGGCGATAGTTATCAGCAAACTTGGCATGAAACACAACAAAGCCCCGACCTGTAGGCCTATATTTTGCACCCCATGTAGTAGTGTCCGTCCATAATAGTGGGTCTTTGTTCCAAGTGAAAATGTGAAAAATACAGGAGCTAGTTGCAGCTGCATTAGTATGAATTCACTTAATGCAGTTCGGAAGCCCCTTTCCAAGCCAATCTCCATTAACATTGGCAAGGCCATTAAAAAGCCAATCTGCACAAAAGATTGAGAAGCAAGTGCCACTTGGAGAGGATTGTTATCTCTAATAGCTCGTTGTGTGGAAAGCCCCTCCTCAAGTCCACTAAGAACAAGATAAAGGCGGCCATAAAGGAATACATACACCGTGAGAACTGTAATCTGCAATTAATTAACGTGAATAAGCTCAGAGCCTCGGAATAAGAAAAATAATGCAAACCTCCAGAGATAAGAGGACATAATTGCAACATACCAACGTACTGAAGTAGTTTCCAACAGTGGTAAAGTAACATGACAACATTCTGAAAAAATCAAAACGGTGACCAAGCCTATATATGTCACGACTCAATGTTTGCTCTCCATTGCCATTAGCAATTTTTGCCTCAAACTGAGAGATCTGGTTTAGACCGACGTCTCTTCCTTTCCCAACTTGTATGTACTCATGATGGGTGACATTTCCTTCACGAAGTGTCGAATTGAAGCCTATATACAATCATCATCACAAATTTCCATGGTAAGACAAATATCATCCTGCCCTTCACCCAAAAAAAAAAAGAAAAGAAAAGAAAAGGATGCAAAAAAAAGCAGTTTTACTCATTAATACATTTCTGAAGGCTTATTTTATTTTATTCATTAATATTTCTAACTTTCTTTTTTTTTTGGGGGGGGCCGCTGTGGAGGACAGCGAAGAAAAGAAAAAAAAAACAAATATGAAGATAACAACTTGAGACAATAAGCATACCGGCAAATATATCCTCACTCAAGTTGATAGTCTTAGATGCTTTGCTAACACCTCCTCTAGTAAGATGAAAGAGCCTATCAAAAACATCGGGATGACCATAATGAAACCGGACCCTGAACAATTAGAAGAACTTTCTTCAGACATCAGATATCAAGAAACTTCAATGTAAGCATAAGAATGAGAGGCAAATAGTGTCTAAATAGCCTATTGACCACCAATAAACCTTTAGGCTAACACCATAAATAAAGAGAAGTAGGACATTTCCAAAACATTTCGGAACTGGATCTCAGCAAGCTGTATGGAAAGCATGCATTACTGCTTTCTTCTCTATATTTTTGACACCACCACCACAACCAATACACGAGGAATTTTTAAAGTTGAAGCCTGAGGATTCTTGTCTTCATAGACACAAATATCTGTCCATTTCACGACCCTGACATTTTATCCATTTTAGTTCTTGAGCATGGGGAAGGATATTATTGAGAAAAAATGATAAGTCATCTACAGTGTAAAGGTGGGAGGAGCTGACGCTGTACCATTGACCTCATATGATACAACAAAATTACAGAAGATATGAAACCCAAAGCAGAGAAAGAAAAAAGAGTGTCCACTGAAGAGGTAGAAGTTTACTTCAAAGGGTCCGCCAACAATCTCTGACCAATAGTCACAAAGCTTGTCTCTTGGTTTGACATAAACCATGCAAGAGATGACACACTGCATCATGAGCAAAGAACAATTAGCAACATAATGACAAGAAGGCGAAGAAAGTAACAAGAATTAAATCTGAAACAGTTACATCAGAACAGTGAATACCTTCCAGTAAATATGTGCTCCCTCAATCCAAGAATTGTAGGGTACCGCACCCCATCATGCTTCTTAAGAAATTCTTGAAGCAAGTTCCTCATCTTCAATGCTTCTTCCATGTAATTGTCCTGGAAATTGACGTTTAGTGAAGCCAACTTATGACTGAAATGCTGGGCTGAAGTAAGGTAATTACAGTACCTGATTCATATCTATTGTTTGCAAACCTTCTCCACGTGTGAAAATTATGGCATGATTCTGATTTTCAGGCTTTCCCTCTCCCAAAATAGCAGGTCCTGGAAGTTTTATTTTATAAATAACCTGTGTGCAGATTGAAACATCGAATTAGAATAATATAACTGCAATTAGATAAACAGAAGCACTTTTATTGGTAACTAGCCACATGGGCTCATGTATTTATATGACTGTACATCAAAAAGGTACAATACAACTGTAAACCACAGGACTAAATATATAAAGGATTATTCTAATACTCCCTCTCAAGTTGGAGTACATATACATGATATCCACCAAATTTGTTATAGATATAATCTACTCAAGAACCTCAAAAGGGATTTGGTGAAGACATCTCTCAGTTGACACTTGAGTTAACCAAGTTTGTAACATCCCTTGAGGTGATCTACTCTCTAACAAAGTGACAGCTTTGTCTATTCATGAAACAGTATATGAAAGATAAATGAAGTGTTGCTTAGTTGTCACATATTAGTTCTATTTTTGACTAATTCCCCCAAACTTTAGAAGTTGCTGTTTCAACCAAACAAGCCCACATATTGCCATGACCATAGCTCTATACCATGCTTCACCACTCAATCAAACTACCACATTTTGTTTCCTACTCTCCTAAGACACCAACTTTCCACCTACAAGAACCCAAAACCCAGTAGTATGCCTAACCCACCCCATCACCATCTGAGTAGAACACCATCTGGGTATCCCCTTTATCAGGAAATACCAATCCATTTTCTAGTGCTGTCTTGATGTATCCCGAAATCAGAATAACATACATGTTATAATAACATGGAGAGTCTAAAAACTGACTAACTATACTCACAGCAGAGAAGCTATTGAGTCGAGTCAATGTAAAACAGTTAAACATCCTCGATAACCTCTGGTTCTGCCAGGATCTATTAAAGGCTCCCCTCCTATCCCCTTTCTCTCTTGGTTGGAGTTTAACATTCAAATTTATTGGATACAGTAGATTGCGCATCCATCATGCCTATCTCTTCCAGAATGGCCAAGGCATTTTTTGGCTGTGAGATAGCAACATTGGCACTAGACTAAGCCATCTCAATACCCAAAACATATCAAAGTTTGCCCAAATCTGTGGTTTGAAAATGATGGAAAGAAGTTACTTCAACAGATTAATGCCATCCTAATCATTGGGCATAGTATCAATACCATCCACAAGAACAACAAGATGGACACAGTGATGTGGCAATGAGCATCTATGAAACACTAAGTAGTCTACTTTGCTACGAGTCATACCTAACTCTTGAACAAGAATCGACCAAACCAAGCTCGCATAAATTGTAATTATGCCACAAAGAGAGCACATAATCAACATACGAATTTAGGCTCCCCTTAGCAACAAAACTTAGCAAGTGCTCCATATAAATCTCCTTCTAAAGCTTACCATGTAAGAAGGCATTTACAATATCTACTGAGTAAAAGTATCCCTATAATTTAAATCTAGAAGCATTCAGCTAAGCCTGGTCTTAAGGCAATCAACAGTCCATGCAGGCCAATTTTAACTCTGTAAAACCCAACAACATCCAATTGCGACTTTCCAAGTAGTTGAAGTTACACATTTCCAAAACACTTATCCTTTCCAGGAAAAAAATATTAGTTACCTCAAACAACTTTCCAAGTTTTGAGGAGGCCTACTACAACAAAATTTTCAAAATATAGACCATTGCACAAAAAAAAAAAAAATGTTCTCACCAAAGCTAGTAAATAAAATTCGAGTCTGGAAAGAGATTCTACAAGCGATGAAGAAGGCATGTAAAGGAAACAAACTTAAAAGTTCAGAAATTTAGTGGTTTATTTTATTATTTTTGAAATGTAATTTTTTGGTATTGGAAGATTTTTAATAATTTAGGATACTACATTGTACACATTAATGTTTGCCTATCATGTAGAAGGTGGAGTTTATTTTATCTAATATTTAACAAAGCTTATCTTCTCTGTTGAGGCACTCTTTTTATTAAATAAGGTCAGTAGTTTGCAAATATCTCTGCAAGTTTCAATATTGAGAAAAAGTCAAGTATTTTTATGAATTGTTTTTCCAACATGGCTTTCTTTGCTTACCCTCAAACATCTATATTTAGCACATTTCTCTTTATTTTTCTTTTCTCCTAACATATGCGTTCACCATCAAAGAATGATAAAATATGAGTTGAAGAATATTAGAATTTTGATTCATACTTTCATATACACCAGCCATATGAATTTTACTTGTTTCCATGATTAACTGCAATCCCCCACCTTCATTAGCCTTCCAGTACTAAAAAGGAATGCATTCATAACTTACTTTTGTGTAAAATGGGATTGTGTTTAAAGCTAATAACTCATGTCCAATTCTAAAGGAAACTTTGTTGAAACGCTAATGATTTTGCCCAATTTTAAATGGGACTGAGTTGAAAAGCGACTGATACGGTTCAATTTTATAACGATGTCAAGGTTTCAACAGGGGATCGTAATTGTTCATTACAAGAAAATTTAAGCATTCACCTCATCCAAATTCTGCACAGGCTCTGAAGAATTAATGGACTCTGGCAAAGCAGCCTTCACCAGTGCAGAATAGTAAACCTTCTGGTTAATTTTTTTGGGTCTATCTTGGCTTCGCTCTTCCACTTCATCAATGTAAGCTACACGAAGGGATGGGTACCTGTGCCCCCAAAAAAAAAAAAAAAAACAAAAAACGAAAACGAAAACATAAATAACCAAGAAAATTTTGATTGTCACCACATTCAAAAATCTTAAACAAAAAAACATACGTAGTCATAAGCCTCAGAATGTCTTGTGCCCGAGCATGTCCTGATCGCTTATCTATTCCATATTGCTGGCATGACACCACATATGTGAACTTCATATCAGCCACTGCTTGACATTGTGCCAAAAGTGATCTTTCCCCACTAGTCTGGTCCTCCATATTCAATTCAACAGCTTTATAACCCTCCATTAAATCTGCTCATGATAAGAAATCGAGTAACAAAAAGCATAGACGATATACTGATAATCAGTTACATTTCATCAGAATAAAGATTGGTACTAGTTGACAGGTGGAAAATTACCTTCATCTTTGGCCATATCTAGGAATGCTTGAAGCTCCAAGGCTTTACGGTAATACATCATCCCTCTTACTGCCATTAGTAGTGCATACAATTACAATAAAAGCACTGCATGCTATTTAACATACAACTCAAGACACAATAACACCAATAAGCATGCTCATTCAATATACATGCATACATGAAAAGATGAACCACCACAAGAAAAGAAGCAGAAGAAGAAAGACAATACCTGTTCTAGTCAATGTTTGCCCTCTATATGATGCCCAAAGACGTAGTTTTTCTTCGAGTTCGGGTGATCCTCTCAGTTCTTCTTCGCTACCACAATTTACTCTCTCAAGGAAGTTGTTCCATTCATCTACACGACAAATTTAACACCATCAAGCATTTTACAAAAATGATTGAATGAACATGAAAAGTAATAACAGGCATTTTCCACCTGCGGGCTCTAAAAAAAATGAAACCTGGAAAAATTTTCTGAAGGTAAAAAAGAACAGAAACTCCATCTTCATTTGGTACTTCCAATTCTTGCAGAGAAAAAAGCACCTCCTCCGTATAGTATGGAGTCAAAACACTGAAAGAAACATTGCCGCATCACACATTGGAAAACAATTGATAATGCTATGCAGTAGAATGAAACAACTCATAACAATGCATACAACCTGATCACTAAAGAAACGTGCACTAAGTATGGGTTTAAACAAAGAAATTGCTTCTTGTGAAAATTCCCTAAAAGCCAATCAGAGGTATTCAGAGTTTTTTAACTGCTTGACCACGCACATCATGGCACGTCTAAAAATTTTGCTAGGAACAATTTGCAGATAAACCATCAGGACATGGCCAAGAATCACGAGCTTCCCATTACTTTCATAAAACATGTGCCCAAGGTAAATTCAGGGTCACAAGCTATAAAAACTCACGAGAAGGAAAGCATGTTGCGGACTTTTGGTGCCATCGGCATGTCCATGAACAATGAATTTGAGAAAAATGAAATGCGCCTTCTAGCTTCAAGGTTAGATGGTACATCCATCGCAGACTCCTTAACTGTTAGCAACAGATCAAGACGTTTGATCTGCACAAACATATCATAATAAACAGGTATTATTATTTATTCTGGAGGCAGAATCAATTATATTAACTGGATACAAATATTGGAATACAAGGATCACCAACAATCACCTTTTCTTTCCAAGCCTCTGTTTCTTGAATGGGAAACTTAATGGCTCCAGCCGATGCAAATAGTTGGATCATCCCCTCTTGTACTAATCCACCATGGATAGAATCCACAAGACTATTGAAGAAAATGTAGCAACAGAACTTCAGAAAAAGATTCGGTCAGCCAAAAAGCAGGGAATAACTAAACCAAATTGTTTCACCTTGATATATGATCTTCCATCATTATGTCTCTTGTCACAACCTCAAGCATATCCTGAAAGAGAATCACAACTTGATCCCTGTCCTCCTGCTTATTTTTTAACTGCAGAAATGAGAAGCAGCTTGAGCATACTTTCGCATATAATTCATCAATAAATTCGAAGTACCTTTCATGTGATACTAAGCTCTATTACCAGGTATTTGATAAGCTTGACAAAATGCTCATAAAGGCTAGGAAGACCACTCATATTGAATTCAGTTAACAGGCTGTCATCACCTATATGCTTGTCCACCTCAGAAAATATAAAATCAATAACCCTGGAAATACCATTCAGATAACCATGTGAAATCATATAAGCAAAGCTAGGCAAACCAAATATACAAACCAGCCCAGGAAAGCTTACTCGTTTTCAACTTTACCCCGAACCAAAAACTTAATTATGTTGCGGAATGATGCATAGCATTCACGGATGGCACAAGACATATAGCTGTCATTATTAATCCTCTTTTTGAGCTCTTTGACCTTACCATTGCTATCCTTAGCCATGTCCAATGCTATTGGGATCTAGCCAATTTAAGTACATTTGAAATATGTAGTAATCACAGAGTTAGAATTTTGTGCTACATAACATAGAAAATTATATACCATGAACATAAAACACTAACCATGGTTTTCAAGACATTGCACTCTGAATGCCACATTATTAAACACAATAAAATGCTATTTTCATGCATTTCAACACCAATATTAACCACAAAAGGTTCATGAAGACATGTAATTCATATACAGAGGATTTCACAAAACAACTCAAGTTGCAAATAAAACCCAGATATGAAAATGCAAAGAATCAGAAATACCATATATAGCTAAAGCTACAAAAGTTTTTAGATCATAAGTTAAAAGTCTAAATTATTTCGAATTTACATAAAGTGCAAATGTAGATTTACAAATAATATATTATTGCTCAAAGGCAGCTTTCAATACTCCCCTCTGCATACAGAAAGAAGGATCACTTTTTAGACCAAAATGACAAGGACTTCCATTTTCTTCACATTATAGAGTTGACCAATATAGCCAGCCATTTAATATCACTTTTAGTGGAATTTCCTTTTTTTCCCCTCTAACTGTCTGCATACCTGTTTTCAAGACTACAATTCTGGTTTTATATGAACACTACTTACCCCAAAATTAAAATATCATGCATCTCTTAAAAACAAATTGTTAATTCTGAAAATGAATATTATGAGGCACAAGAAATGCTAAAAGGCTGAAGTGTAAACCAACACAAGTAGGACAGTCCCATACACGTAAGAAAAATTACAATATATTTCATTTTGAAGTTTTTGATCAAATGCACCAAAGACGGCTGAAATGCACAAATCCACAAATAGTACTCAAATTTCTTTACTAAGGAGCCACTTATAAAAAAATGTCAAACTAGTATTGATAGAGGACAGTTCTATATATACAGATCAGGAAAACTCCAATCTTGTTTCATTTTGTTTCTTTAAATTTTTCCATCAGATGCACTGATGATAGCAGCAGGAAGACATGAATCCACAAATAGCATTTAAACTCCAAATTACTATTATGATATCCCATCCCACATTGAATAGTGAGTGCAAGGCCATGTGGTATATAGATTCTAGAGGGCCCACTACCAAACAACTTGACTTAAGCATTTTGGCCTGTGGTTTAAGGCCAGAGAAGTTGCCAAGGCAAGCCATCTCTCAGGTCATTAAAATTGGTTAAAAACAATGGCCCTAATGACGATTGCAGGAGGAGAATCCTAGATCCCATTTGGATTTGGGCCTTTATGAAGAACTTAAACATTTGAGTAAGGGAGATTCGGATATCGAGCCCCATCAAATAGAGAGTTTCAAGAAAGCAGATGACCTGATTAGACTAAATAGACCTCTTTTTTCCAATTATCAAAATCTGAAACTACCCTTGACAAAACACAAATTAATTTTTTCCTCTGTTACTATTGTAAAACAATAGTCTTAGTCTTCCAGTCATCCTTCTTATAGATAATTCGGTCTATGCTGACACTATAATGTTAATATTAACATACATCTCTCTTAAATTAAAATCAGAAAGCATCTTAAAATTGCCAGGGATATATTTATTTTATGCTCAACATCAAGCTTCATAAACTAATTGTTTCAGTATCTGTCATGATGCAAGACAAGTATTTGCAACAACTATTCTTCACAAAATTTGTGGTAAGGCAAACCTTGCTAGCAAGCAAACACGGAGGCCACTGTATAAGTTCCAAATCACGGTCTGCCCAATATGGAACAAGCAGCAAGTCCATTTCCCTGAAAATACAACAGATTTTACTTGTCACTGTATAAAATGATAAATTTCTGATGATAATTTTATTTAATCAAATTTTAGAAAAAAAAATATGAGAAATGGTCACAGGAAGAAATCAAATAACTTGAAAAGAGACAAATCACCCTAAACTACCTATCACTTATGAGATCCTCCTCTCTAAAGCTACTTATTATTGTATTCCACAACTGAGCAAACCTAGCAGCTTCTTTTTCTTTATTTGAAGGGACCTGAAAATAATTAGATAAGCAAAATTCAGTAAAGATGTTTCCATCTTTCCTGGTATTACCAGAACAATGAGCAAGCTATGCAGAGAATATCTCTATAAAAGTAAAATGATAACCTTAGTATAATTCCGAGATAAGGCAGCCTTCAGCCCTTTCTTTTTTGGTGGATCACCTTTTTCTTCTGGAATTAGACAGCCATTAAACGCTCCAGGCAATGATTCAAATCTAGATCTCAGCATTCCCAATGTTCGAATCTGTAGAAACCAAAAAGATGGAAAGAAAAGACAAAGTGATTAACCATCCAAGTTAAAGTAAATAAAATTGAATAAATCCAATTCAGCAAAAAGAATCACAGAAGCAACTTCTCAATACTAACATCCAGAACTGTTGTTCAGTATGCTGCATCTCCACAATGATTTATAGACATCCAACAACAATTTAACCGAAATGATCACAAAAGACCATGAAGAAAACATGTAACTTCTTTTACAAACATGAAACATCCTCCAACCTAGTTTTCAAAGGAAAGCATGTAATAAATAACTCACTTATCTCTCTACTAGCCTAAGCTTTTAAATGAGATCATGGTCAACAGTTTAACATGATTTCACAGTAAGAAAAAAGTCTTATATTTGACTCTCAAATTCCTACTAGTTTAAAGTTTTCCACGTGTAGGCCTAGTTATGAGAAAGAAAATAAAAAAATAAAATCAAATCTGGCTGCACATTCCAACCATTTTCAAACTAAAGTATGAAGAGTGGTGGTACAAAGTATGCAAGTTATAGAACAAGAAAGTAAGTTCTTACTTCACCAAGACGACGGAAAGCACCATAGATACCCCCAAATAATGTGGAGAATATAGCATACCAGATTTGTCCATCCATAAAGTACACCTATAAGCAATCCAAGTATTAGATAGTAAACAGAGAACAGGACATCAAAAGGACAGAGCAAGCAGTAAATGGGTTGAACCATACAAGAATAATCGGAGCCCAAATTGCAATTACAACACCAATGTTATTCCTTGCTGCAAACCAAAGAAACAAAAAAATGTAAGACCGATTTACAGATAGTAACACATTAAAAGTTTAACTGATGAATGCTCCGCTGTTACCCTGAGGAAAGAATTCGTGCCATTTATAACTCCTTATATGCACTTTCATGATATCTTTTGTAGGATTCACCAGAGGCTTTATCTGAAATAGAAAAAATTTTGACGTGAAGTAATAAGGATCCAGATTACTTACAATATCAGTATCAGAAGCATACTTTATTCAAAGTCACAACTGAGATTTTGCTCAAATTCATGAAAATTAAATACATAATAACTTATTTCTAGAATCAAGCAGTAAAAATCCATGTGAATCACGTATTTAGAGAGTAGAGAAGCAAAGAAATAATAGGGGAAATCAAGCAAAAATTGCTAAAGCAGCCAGCCACTACAGAAAATATTAGGGCCATATATAAAGTCCATCAACTATGTTAATTTGTGAAATTTAATCTTTAAACTTCAATTGCTCAATATTAAGCACCCATTATGACATGTAGTTAACATCTGTTGATAAAAAAGGCTAACAGGCAACTTTCCAATCTTGCTGCAATAGATAAGAACCCAATGTTTAATGGCTTTCGACCGCAGCACATTTAAACTAATTTGGCTTTCTACAGCAGCTTATCCTGTTCCCTAGAGCAAGAATTGGGTGTCATCTCATTAACACTTAGAAACACATGTTGCAATTGCACATGGTTGATCTACACAAGAATGTGGGTGCAACAGGAGAATGGGAAGATGGGAAGTATGTTAATGATTGAACTGGAAAAGGGGTTCAGATCAGAAGAGGAAATGCCTACAACATTGGTTAAAGAACATAACAATTGAACAAGATGGGAGGCCATGGAGAAGGTTGAAGAATTCTTTCCCATTCCACAAATCTCTGTCTCTTTCAACAAAAGAAATGGACCAACAAAAATTACTTAAAAGTCTTCATAAACCCTTGTGCGCAAATCTGTCCATATGTTCATACAAAAGAATATTATGAAAAGGGGTTCAGATCAGAAGACGAAATGCCTTTGACATTGGTTAAAGAACATAATAATTGACAAAATGGGTGGCCATGGAGAAGGTTGAAGAATTCTTTACCATTCCACAAACTGTCTCTTTCAACAAAAGAAGTGGACCAACAAAAATACTTAAAACTCTTTATAAACCCTTGCACACAAATGTGCCCAGTCCATATGTTCTTACAAAAGAACTGGTTTTCCAAGATAATCTGTAAATTGGACAAGACACAACACACCTATAAAATATGCTAACTTAATTTCATCAAGTAAGATGCAACCCTCCAAAATAATAGAAACAGCAACAATAGTAACAAAAGAATACAAAATAAAAATCATTGCTTAACATCAATAAGCTGGATATGTACTAGGTCATCAGAGCACTCCAAATCTACATTTTTCTTGTTTTCGTTATCATATATTAATAATTCTCTAGGAGGCTGGTGAAGTACCCAAACCACAAGCATCCATGTCTACAACAAGAAAATACCCAATAACAGGCCATTGAGTACTCAATCATCTTATTCTTTCAACAAAAAGAGCATCCATCTTATTTGTTGAAAGTGGGCCATATCTAAAGCTCTTTGACGCAATAGCCTTTTTTGATCTCAACTTTAGTTTCTTTAGTATTTGTTATTTTTTGAGTCTACATTCAGATGGCAGGCAGTACCAAATCTCACATGAGCCATGTAATTAATGCATATAATATTTACAAACGACTGTGTAACATTCCATTTGGAAATTCATCTAGGCAAAGGTTCTATCAACAATGTGCAATAGTAGGAGATGAAATCAGAAAATTCTTTTAGTATATCAACCCCAGAATCCTATTTGCCATCTGGATTTAACACATACAGAGAAATAACTTGTAAGATGTTGATGATCGCAGGACAGAGAACTAAAATATCTCACACCTAAAATAGCTAGGTGGTCTCTTGCATACCGTCTCTAAAACCACTACATGGTTTCCTCACATTTTTATTTTACAATGTTCATGTTTAGACCTGTAACATAGCTGTCACACATTTTGATTTCCACAATTTATCAGCAGAAGAAGGCTATTGGCCCCCTCTTTTTTTCTTGAATAAAATACAAATAACCCCCATAATGTTATAATGGATTTAAAATTTAGTACATTAAAAACCCTACAATGCACCCCCTGATCCTTTAGAAAAGGTGAAATTTAACTGTACTGATAAAATTAACTGTCACATGACAGCACATGACCCCCTCCCTACCAGTAAGTGAAATTGTTTTGAATAAAATACAAATCAGCCCATGAAGTTATAATGAATTTTAATTTTAGTACATAAACTTCAAAACTTTAAAAATTCTTACCAAACACTCAAATTCACTATATCCTATTGATTTATGAAATGGTCATTGTCAACAAAAATAAAAAATTTACAAACCTTATTAAAAGGTGAAATAAATTGTTCGATTCGTGCATTGATTAAGAAAAAAAGATTTTTTTTGAAACTCGAAGGAAAATGAGCCATTCAATATAAGTTGAAATCATAACTAGCCAAAATAGAGCAATGATCTTTTTCTGCAAGCCAAGGCCCAAAACTAAATACAATATTGAAGCATTCTGTCCCCAACTGAAGCATAATACAAATCCTAGACACCACTATCTCCAAGATGCAATTATTGATAAAAACATACCAAACTGAAACAAACTGGAACCCTTGCTAATAAAATACACAAGAACTTTGTATTTTTGATAGCTCATTTTCTTTTAAGCAATGTTAACAAAATATTTGTTAAAATAGAAGTCTTTTTTTATCATTGCATAAATCCAGAAAACTTATTTCACCTTTCAAAAAAGATTTTTTATTTTTTATTTTGATTAAAAATGACTATTTTGTAAATTGGTGGAATAAAGAAAATTTGAGGGTGGTGTGAATTTGTATAATTTTGCAGTTCATGCACTAAAATCAAAATTCATGCTAATTTAGAAGGGTGATTTGTATTTTATCCAAAAATAATTTCACTTATTGATAGGCAGGGGAGTCATGTTCATGTAATGTGGCAGCCAATTCTAACAGCAAGGTTACAATTTCACTTTTCTTCTGAAAGGCCAGCAGGGTGAATTGTAAATTTTTAAAGTTCGTGTACTAAATTTGAAATCCATTATAACTTCTGGAGGGTTATTTGTATTTTATCCTTTTCTCTTTTTTGATTCTCTGGTGGAGTTTAGAGCACATCACATAGGAAAAGCTAATTATAAGACAATTATGGCAACCATCATGGACGGGAAAAGTTCTATATGTCTAAAGTTTCTGAGTTTCTTCACCAATAGTTCCACGACTTCAATATCTTCGCTACAAAATGGGCTTTACTTTTTTAAAAACACAATACATCGACATTATAAAAAACATTTCCTATTATCCAGCCTTGACTTTAATTTATATAACCTCTCCCTTCAGCAAAAGATGCTTTTGTTGTCAGTTTGTTGACTAATTTTGTTTTTTGTACTTCCATCTGGCAATGTCATAATCACATCTGGCACATCCCTGAGAAAAATTTGTAACACATAACATCATAATATACAAGTACCTCTATATAGTAGCTGAATGCCAACTTTGTCACTATAAGTAGAACCCAAAACATTGTATACCTGAAAGTTCAACACATAATCATCAGAAATCAGCAAAATTATTGTTATGAGGCAAAAAGATATTCAACAAACTAGATTACTTGAAAAGAGAAAATGCACTCTCATGCATCCCCCTTCCAACGTATAGCCGAGGCTGCAAAACATCATTCAAACTCTTGGTCAGTCGCTATAAAATGGTACTCAAATACAGGAACTATTGCTGCAGGCAAGTTGAATGGCAAGCAGTGTACACACCTGTGACCACCACATCATCAGCATCACAATTCTGTAGTTTGATCTCTCAAGGAATCGACGGATAAAAGGGAAAAGAAACAGCAATGCAGCGAGCATGTTTGGTGACAGATAGATTACCACAGCCAAAATAAACAGTGAAGGGGACTTTGCATTACCCCCAAACCATCCTCTAATGGTTTTGGCAAGTGCAGAAGGACTCTCCAGACTATAAGCATAAGTGACTGGTAGAATTATCACCCATGCAGCTGCTGACACAACCTTCAATATGTACCGTAGCTTAACATAGAATGACATGCTCCACCTTGCTTTCCAACTGAGGATAACATCAAGGAAAGCTGCATAATCAAGAGAGGTTAGAACCCTATATAACCATCTATATCACACAATATGAAGCAGAAATCTGACAACATATTTGGTACACCTATACGCCCAAAAAAAGAAAAAAAAAACACATCTACCACATTGCATAAAGGATATGGATCCCCCATTGTTGGAATCAAATGCATGCAAGTGAGTATTAGAAGAAATACACATCCCATACGTCTCAACTAAAAAGAAGATAGCTGAGTTAACTAGAAGACTGGAAAAAAAATGCATACATCTCAATCAAAGAAGACACTGCAACTCACCAATACAGTTACTGCATTAGCAAGTTCAGATCCATGCAATAGTCAGGCCTTAATTTTCAAGGCATAATCATGTCCAGATTATTATAATATACAAAGAAAAAATTTAGAATCCTACTATCATGATGAGCGGTTAATATAACACCAATAAGATAAGTTATTTCTTAAGTTTTCTAGTTTGTGAACACAATTATTAATTTAAACATACTCAAAACAAATTTCCAAAGCAACACTACTTATTGCATTCATCTGTTGCGATTGCGTCCCAAAGTCCATTCAACAGATAGCTTAAAATCATTTCAGTCTAGTAGAAAGCAAAAAACAATAACCAGCCTTGACCTAAACTTATATATATCTCCATCACTGATCAAACAATCAAATCGACATATCAACTACGTCTTCATTAAGTGCTGAAAATCAATACCATGAATGAAGGGCTCATGCAATCTAATTTCCAAATACTATGCAATTCCATAAGCTGGACCTCTCAAACCAAACTTCGAAATTTTTTCTCCCCAACTTTTGTACCAACTCACAGCAAATAATGTTGCACAATTCAAAATTTTTGCAATTTCACTTCACATATATAACTTTCATTCACTACATATATCTTTAATCCATGGGACATTTTACCCATCCTTACACCGTAACTATCAGCCCAGTGAATCACAGCATGCATTACAAAATGCATAAATACAAAGAAGTAAGTGCCTCAAGCATGTGATGTGGAAAATATATAGAATCCTCAACTACAAAAATAGGAACAGATACTGGTACACACAACTGAAATCAGAATAAATGCACACAATGAAAATACAGCGAAATGAAATACTCTACCTTGTCCAAGCTTCAGTATTGCAGCAGTTATAAAGACACTAAGTACTTTCTCAAAAACATTAGGAGTGAAGATTGAGCTTGGATTCCCATCACCATTCCAAGCAACAATTATCATAGCCTTAATAGAAACAAAAGAGAACAACAATATGTCAAATAATGGGATATTAAGTGTTCACACACTCACAACATGTGTATAAATGCAGGAATACAGAGAGGAAACAGTCACCTGCAAACACAATATAAAGAAACTCCACATTCTATCAAAGCTTCTAAAAATATGCCAATAGGATCGTATCTCAACAAAATTGACTTTTCCAACCCAGCGATCTCTACCAGCTGGCTTCCTTTCCTGAGTATTGCAATAGAACTCGTCAGACAATACATTAAAGGTAACTAAGTTTCAGAGACCTTTATATTATATTTGATACTAAAGAACAAGACACCTGACATGGAAGGAAAAAAAAAAAAATCATGAATTAGTTGAGGCATTTTAATATAACATAAGACTGTGTACAAAGGAAGGAAAACAAATTTTAGACCAATGGTCACAATCAAGAGACAGAATATACTTGTAATAGTGGATAACAAAAGGACAAGAGGAAAAATGAGCTCAATGATGTCACAGCTACCCACAGATATGATCATCCATGCCATGGGCAAATGGTTCAAAATTTCAGTACATATCAATCTATCTCAAAAAGCAGAATAATAGCAATATTTATATACTAATCCTAATCCAAAATTGTACGGCAATTTGTAAAGCCTTTGGAGTGAAATTTGACATATGCATAGGAATTTTCTTGATATTATTATTAGGAACAAGGATGGAAAGTAAAATGGTTAATGATAATTTAGGCATGACATGATGTTTGAACCTTTGTTCTATCAAGAAAGAGGGAGAAAGAAAAGAAAAAGAAAAAAGAATGTTCATCAATAGAGCTATAGAAAAAACAAAAAGGTTATGAGCACTCTTAAAAAAATCCATGTCAAAATTTATTCATACAATTTTAGGTTTCAAACAATTGTTTCCATTCACCTCATGCACATTTGGTAAAAATGCTTGATGTTGGGGTTGAAAATATGTTTTCTTGACATAAAGAAGGCCTTTCATGGAACAAATTTACCATCACAAGATCATATTCAAATATAAGTCAAAGCACTCTGTTATTCCAATTGTATCTTAGTAGTGAATATACTAAAGAACAGGTTGAAACTTGTATATTTATCCCATAAAAGAAAATTGTTAAGTTATACACCAACCAGCCAACGCTTGTAGCCTCCACAAGCACCAAACTCCTATTTAGTCCACTTTCAAACAGTTCCATCCATTCAGAAACCTTCCTACCATTCTATCCATATCTTTCCATGGTCAAAGCTAAAAGAATCTTATGGCTCTATCCATATACTGCACTAGGCAATTAATTTTTTAGTAAATATTTAATTAATTCCATCAATTTCTTGTCAACCTTCTGATTTTCATAACTGAGCTTATACCATGAACATGATAATGCCCCTAGAATTCTGGGAAACATTTAAGCTCACTATTTTCTCCCTTTCCTAACGTACAATACAAGTCTCCAGTAATCGCAAAAGGAAATCTTGGGGTTGCACTCATAACTAAAAGTTTCAAATTGGACACCATAGCAAAGAGAATTGAATCATTAAGCACTTACTAAGCCCAATTCATGCATTTGTCAGCATACTCTATATACAAAACAAATAAATAAAAAGAAAAGAACCCTTCCTCTTCGTTTACTTCTTTGCTTAGGATTGTCATGATCAATGCATTATTTAGTGGTAATTTCTAAAATAAGATTTCCACTTAGATAGTTGTCCACTATGATGTATAAAAAAACAGCATAGTGCTACCAACGCATAAAAAATGAGAGAAGGATCTGCTATTAGATATGTCCATGCTGTTTCTTTAATCAGATATTTCATTTCCTCAGGCATTTGAGAGGCCATAGTAGCTAGATTAATATCATAAATGTTTTCCAGGATACAGTCTATGATAAAGTTCCAAAGATTTTCTGTCAATATGCCATTTCCAAAACCAGAACTATATACATCCAGAAGAAAAAATGCTAAAGATGTCAAGAGGTTCATTTATCACATCAGAAATATAGAGAAAATTAACAAAAACAAAGTCAATCTAATTTGCTATGTCTTTCTTCTTTTGTCAGACCAATATGTATCACTCAAGGATAAATATTTCTGTAAAACAATAGGGGCATGAGATCACAAAATGTAAATAAATTTCAGTACAAAAAAGTAAGTGTTCTTCATTAGTTCACAATGCATCCAACTCAATGTCAAATAAGCAACCAAGCAACTAAAGAACAAAAATACCAATTAGGTGAATATGATTTACCTCATTTCTCTCAAACTGAAGCTTTTCAATTGGCAGATAAAAAAAATCAGCATCTGCACGCATAGGCCAACCTAAGCGAAAACAGTCAGCTGACCTGAAAATGTTAAAGGCAAAGTCATTGCCTAGAAGTCTCAACGTACAAAAGAATAATATATATATAGAGAGAGAGGAGGGAAGGAGGGAGGGAGAACAACCAGAAAACAATAAATAAATTAACCAAAAAACAAACTGGAATACCAGAAGTATTCATTCAAATCATCATAGTTCCTCCACTGAGAATGTTTTGATACACCATTCCTGCTCCTTGCAGCTTCCTGGAGCATAAATGCCAAAAAATAACATTACAAAAGTTGAGAAATATAAAATTCAACTTTGTACAGATTCAAATCCAATCAATGTAAATACCCGTGCAATCACTTCATAAATAGGTGTAACAACTTTCTTCAAGAAAGCCTCCTCTTCACCTCCATATGCTGGCTTCACATTCTCTCCGGTCATAGGACTGATATTGCCAGCTAACATACCATACAATTCAAATGCCATCTATAGCACCACAAACATATCATCACCATTATTATCTATGATTGCTGTTTATATTATTCAATTACAGATCGCATCATCTAGCAAAAGCACAAAAGAGATGCTTTATCAACAAAGGCCCCTTTCAAATTCTGGATGTTTCACCAGAAGAAAAAGAGACCAAGAAGCAGAACCCAAAAACAAGGTAATAATTTCAGATAGGTCCATTATATTCACAAGAACAAGGTGACAATAATAAAAATGAGACAAAAATTAGTTGAAATTATCCTCTACTCCTATAAGGCCAAAAAGTACTAAGAGAACTGAAACTCCATTCAACAAGAAAACATATCTGTTGCTCTCTTATTTTTCTACTTGCAGTAAGAAATCCTCGTTTCCTCTTCATTTAGCATAACTTCAGAGTAAGTAGCTTACAGCTTAGGCTTTAGGAAAGGGGAAGTGATTCAAATGCTTAGAAGCAAGTTCTTGCAAAATGCAATCATAGACACACATCAAAATCATTGCTCAACAAAATCCATGCACATGCCAATCTCACATTTGACATTCATAGCTTAATCATATGCCAGCCAATAAGCAAAACAATAACACAAAATTGCCAGGATGTATATAAGATCGGTCAATTCAACAAATCACTGACTTAATTACATCAGCAAGATTTGATCTCCACTCACAACAATGAAACAGTTTCCAGATGGAGTTCATGAAGCATATTTAATAAATATGATGCACAACAACATAGCCAAATAAGAATCCTAGAAACAACTGGGAAATAAACTGAAAATATGTGGAAATCCTAATGTTAGTACAAAAAAATTGAGGGCAGGTCTAAAAGTTGCTCCATTGCAGCCAGAGCATCATAAGGCTTTACAGGCGTTATTTGTTCACGTTCCGCTGGATTAGTTTTTGCAAAAGATCTCAACGAACCATATCTTGGTTGGTTTTCCAGAACCCAATCTGACCATATAACCATTTAGCCCTTTAAAACCCAGTGAGTCGAAATGATTGGTCCAATTAAAATACAAGCGCCATCATCCCCTAAATGGTTAAGGAAAACTGGCACTGGAATCAAAGGATGACTGCAAGAGGTCATTGGCATCAGAGTTTCCACTCTGGTAATCACATCCTCCATCCTCCAGGCACTGAATATTAGCACCCCCAACCCTTTTCAGATCAACATGGCAGTTATAGAGCCAAGAAGAGGGCTATGGGGCCGTGTCTGTAAATCAGCGGGTTAAAACACTAATAAAGATGGCCCATTCAGTTAAGTAGTATAAGTAAATAAACTCCATCCACCAAATTAGTTATCATCGTTTATAGAGCCAAGTAAATTGGGTTGAGTGGTTATTCAGGTTATGCTGTCTCCACTACCAGGCTTCTCTTTTATAATCTGAAGATGGCCTACAAACAGACAAATCAAGCATTAGACATGTGCCGAAACTATGATGTGCTGTCCAATTGCCACTATAAAATATATTTATAGTATATTAACAAGGATTGAGAAAAACAAATTCCTAGACACTATAATTTAGTTTTAATAATTTTATAAATTGATGTTGCACAATATTATCAGTATATTTGCATGATCAGAGTGGGGGTCCAAGGTGGGGATGCCAATTCCCTACACCATCACCGCATATTGGTTCGATAAACCTCTTCTATTTAAGGTAAGGCAGCACAAGACCAAATCCCATAGATTGCACTGCCATCCTTATTGCTATACCTGTTTTCATTAGATTGCAATTCTTACCACAGTGGAGGTGCAAGGGGTAACTTTGCTCATCATAAATGAAAATGACATATATGATGCTTTCTGATAGTATAAAATTACAAGCGAAAACAGCTTGTCAAATACAACTTTGTACCACATAAAAATTTGCAATTCAAAACACCCCTTTCAACTAAGCATCTAATAGACTAAAATCAATCTAGATGACATTAATGAAAATTGAACAGACAGGAGCAGAATTTTTATCAAAAATTCAAATGCAAGAGAAATAGATGGTACATTGTCGCAATAAAGCATGCTCATTAAGGCACATGCCCTTATGGAAAGAAAAGAGTGTGTGAAGCATACATGATGATAAATATAGCAAAGACATTCTGGCATAAATCTTAGATTTGCAGCCTCGCCCCATATTAGTAGATACAAACCCATGTATAACAATTTACGCTGTTGCACTTCCTGCTGTATGGTAGGTAGCCTGCAATTCAACCATACAAAATTAAAATGAGAAGATTCAGTTAAGAAACAAAATATGCTTGAAAATCATGCTCCAAAGCAGTCTTAGACACTACTAAACACATAGTAACATGATCAGACTGTTTCCATTATATCCTCCTTCAGCTTCAATAGACATAATATGATGCAAATAGAATTCCAAGTGAATGTTGTGTCTCTTTCACCAATCTCCGCGTAGAAAGACTCATCTCTATATTAGAGACTTTGTACCACCCAATCTAGGGTGACAAGTCCATGTACCAACACAAGAAAACCATATCAAGACCAGAGTCCGATGTGTAGCATGAATAATTCTTCTCTTTATTTTGTATTTTCTATTTACTTAACAAACAAGTGGTCAGCTGTTGATACACTTACACAAGCAGACTTGCAAGTATCTACATAGAAAGGAATTGCCAAGTACCCAAGATACCTGCTATTATGTGGTCTAAGAATGGAAAACTGCACATTTAAGGCTGCAAATTTTCTTGAATTGATAGATGTTTCTATTGTAACATTTTGATTGGCTCTGGGGGTAGCTATTGTGCAGCCACCACTCAAGTAACCAGTAATCACCCTAACTATCAATAAGACCTGTATAGTCCAATAAGCAGGGGGGAGAAAAAGAGTTTTTTTTAATAGAAAGGGGATTCTTTCATCAGGCATTGAGTTATAATAATAGTTTGGAAGGTCACAAAGACCTTTCCAATCCCGAAGCTATTGGATTGCAGTAACAGAGAGTATTCCAATTTATGTCAGCTTCGGCATGCTAAACAGTGGTCCAACTCATTAACAATTCAGTTAGAGATTTGTTGAACTTGCTTCTAACAACCATGGGTTTGTCTTTAAATTATATAATAGGTTCTCCTTCAAAGCATGAAGGAATAGTCTAAATATCTTTATTAATGTCATTCTTGCAGACTCCATGCAATCTATGGACATCATAATTACCCAAAAAAAAAAGACTATAAATATAAACTAATATACATTTTTGTTATATCTATGCCATGTCCATGTAATATTTTTTTCATAAAGTTTCCACATATTATTGCAGATGTAAATGCCCATGTCTGTGCTTTTCAATCAGATAACAATGCTAACTAGGAACTGTAAATCTTATTTAATCCTTAAAGAAGCTGGAGATATTGTTTTAATCTTCGTGATGGAATACAGGTGACGTCCTGTAGTTCTTATAAGGCCCTGTATAAAAAGGAATAGAAAATATATGAAGAAAGCATCATTCCAACAAAATATCATGATAATTCTCACCAAAGACTACTTTTTCGATCCAAATACTTGCACCATTTCTTGTAATTCTTGAATAGTTTCTTCATCACTTCGTTCAAAGCACGTTCATCCAACTAAACATTCAAAAAAGAAGAAGAAAAAGGTATTAGCGTCTGAGCAATAAATAAAACATCACTGTGTACTTCAGCTACTAGATTTTAATAATAGAAAGATGCGTAAAGGTTGCAACAAGGATAAACAAAACACATGCCAGCCATATTCAGCACAAACATAAATGTTTTATAGTAGTGTGATGATAAAAATAATACTTAACTCTTTCTCCTTTATAAACATAAAAATATGGCAGAATGACAGGCATCAGTATATAGACAAAACAAAGCGACCTCTCAAGAATCCCTAAAATCATTACCCAGAGATGCCTTAGCAGGCTTGCACTATCTTGCATACTTCATGCTACTCTTTTTCTTTTCCTTTCCATGGCAAGAATTGGGCAGGCAGGAGAGGGGAAAACTACAATAGTACCACCTACAAAGAGAGCTTGGGTCATGACCACTGAACAAATAGCCCAATGGTATGTGTCCTGCAAGCAATATCTGTTTCCCTCAAAGCTGTAGTACTGATTGCTTGGTTGAGTTTACATTGACTCTCTCTCTCCCTCTCTCTCTCCCTCTCTCTCTCTTTGAAAGACATTTCCTGTTAATAATGTCAATAATCTTCTTATGCACATTAAAGATACATACAAGTCAATGATGCATAGTTGATTAGTTAAGCTGCCATACAAAGAATACTTCTTACTCGGTCCTTGGTCATTCTTCCATGCTGATTTTCTATTTCCCTCAAAACCGTAGACTGTAAATAAATTATTACTGGGTTGATTTTGCATTTTGCTCCAATTAATAATTTATAATCTTTTATACAGAGAAATGTACTACACATGAATACAAGTTCAATGATGCAAAGTTGATTAGTTCAGGCTGTTAACAAAGAATGCTTCTTAATGCTCCACATCATGCTTAGATATAACTATATTAATTATAACAAGAAAATATGGTATTCAAGAAAATTAGAGAAGTCCAAGTTTCTTCAGATATAACTATATTAATCCCCATTGAATGCAGCAGACTAACAGGACAGAATATGGTATTCAAGAAAAACATTGGAATGCTGACAAAGGTCGAACTTTCAAGCTGTATACAAAAGACCAGACAGCTAAAAGTGATAAAGTGCAAACCAACATACTGAACAGAAATGTTACCTGCAATGCAAACATCCCTTGTGACAAAATATTCCCAAATTTAATGAGTGAAAAACATAATATTAAAATAAAATGCACTGAAAACAAAACTGATGTTGAAATGAGTTCCAACAGAAGCAGTGGCAACATATTTCTATAAATAGGATACTTATAACCAAAAGGAACCCCAGAAACCATCTTTAATTTGTTAGGCATAATGGTCTCAGATTCATAGCATTTGTAATTACAGAGACAGAGACAGAGATGCTATTGCTTTCTCATGGAAGATATGCATTATTGGCAGAATGCTGCAAAAAGAAAAGATGACAGCAGAGAAGTTGGTGAAGACTTCTCCTTGTATTGCACAACGAAAGATTTGCGAAGACAAACCTTGGGTTGCTGATCAGGCTTCGGGAATTGCCTAATGTGTACATTCGCAAGCAATAGAATCAAGTGCTCCCTTTGATTTGATACGTTATCCTTCTGCAATTTTATTAACAAAATTAACATTCAAAAATGATGAGAGAACTACATGCAAGGAAGGAAAAATATTTGATCTGTCACCTGAAAACCAAACATTGCTTGAAGCCAGTCTAGGATATCTTCATCATTTTTTTTCTTGTAGTCCCTTGGCCATGGCAGACCCCTGGTGTTACGAAGAGCTACAAGAGCAGCTTGAATCTATAGAAAAGCAATAGCAGGATCTTGAACCATTACCAGGAAGAGGTCAAAGCAAGAATATATGATATAACAAATCCACTGAGAATTGAGACAAACCTCTGGATATCTCATTATTGCCTGATTTGCACTATCAGGGTCAAGAGGAAGAATGTTGTAAGGGACATAGATCTGAGTCTTTTCTGCAACTTTATCATGAGCTTCCAAGATCTGTGCACGCAAACCATAATTTTTTTTGACCTTGAGCAATCAACTCATTATGCCAAATGAAAGGTATATGACATCTAAGCTCTGTATTTGCAAGAAAGAGAATAATAATAGTTCCATTATTAAATAAAACACTTTGGATATCAACATAGATCGGCATTTAGTTTCACCTCTCGATCAACTTCAACAGCCTGGGTCTGATTGACAGCCTTCAGAACTTCAAAGAGAACATTAGCAGTTTGGTATGCTTTCGTAAGTTGTGCACTAAGCAGGGGAAAAAGATGAGAGTTAAACATACCAAATCAACAGCATAGGAATGTAATTGTTCAATAAAGTTCTTCATATACTCCAAAAACCTACCGATCAGCTTTATCGGCAGCATTGTGCAAGGCTTGGATATACTTTTTATAGTAATGCTGATAAAAGCTCTGCATCTCACGTGCATCGCTTTTTTTAACCCTTCCCATCAATGTTGGATCATTCTCCTGAAAAAATTTGAAATTAAATAAATAAATAAATATATAAATAAAATCATTTACCAATAGGGGACAAACTAAGAGCAAAAATTGAACTCCTGGGAACCACCAACTCCATGTAGAAAAACCACCCTTCCACACACACACAGAAAGAGAGAGAGAGAGAGAGAGAGAGAGAGAGATGGAGAGGCCTCTCGTAACAATCAGGAGCAAATCTGTGCTCAGATGGAAACAAAGAGAGACACAACAGAACCAGAAGTGACAATTTCAGATGGATCACCAAAAAAATGGCTAGTTATAGAAAGATGTAAGAAGAAAATAAAAAACTGCAACATTACACTAAGAAAATTGAAAAAGGAGAAGACAATAGGAAAATAGAGATGATGCACACTCCAATATTTGCAGCGCAACTGCTACGTAAAAATTCATGTTCAGCATGGTAAACTCAAAAAGTAGTATCTGAACCTAGGAACATCCATTTCTCCCAGGACAACTTTAGAGGCCCAATACAAGGCAGATAATTAGGTTTGATATACTGTCATTTTGGAAGTTCAAAAAATGTAAATATTCACTAAATAAGTGAAACATTGAGAAGAGAAACTGCAATAGAAGGAACACTGAGTTAAGGAGCAAAGGAAAAAAAAACTGCCACATACAAAAAGTCAATAGTCAAAATAGGCAAACGTACAGTGGTGTGGCCTTGGTAGAAACTACCATTTCTGGTGATTGACAATGTTTTCACGCTGCAACACGTGCTGTTCAGCTAGTGTTGACCTTTTTTGTTAAAAACTGACTTTTTTACTTCTGATCATCTAAACTCTGAGTATACTAAGTCATAATAGGTATTTCAGTTCAAACGAGTTTTGTGCATTTATTGATCTTATATAATATCAGGCAACAAGGAAAACTAGAAGGCATAGAAGAGACTTTTAAAAGTACAATCTTTAGTGATTAATAAGTTTGTCTTTCTCAGAGAATAAACAAACCATTAGAAACCCTGACAAGCTCTATATAGATAGAGAGGAAGTTCCCACATATTGGCAAATGAAAAAGGCTATCCAAGTCAACTATGGACCAAGATTAAGCCACCCTAGCAACAGTACTAAAACAACCATCCCACTCCCACACCAAAAAGGATAGAAAGTCAATGGTTTACATATGTAAACAATGTGTGGGTTACACATGTAAACAATCCTTACTCTCTCACTTGAGATGCCTCCTAGTAAAAATGGCTAGAACCCATAAGATCTCAAGAGTTAAGCATGCTTTCAAATGGGATTAGCACTAGGATGGCCAACTCCTTGGGAATTACTAACTTGGGTTCAAATTTCCATTACAAACAAAACCAGGAAGCCTAATACGACAAATCAAATGAAGCCAGGTAGTTTGAGAGATGAAGTCCCTCACAGCAGGAATCAATTGGCCATCCTAAATCAATGAAGGGAAGAAATTTGTGGCCTATATATGCAAAGATCATGTTTTCTCTCACATGTAAATAGACTGTAATTTATTCCTTTCAGTGAAAATTGAATGTGTCCATTATAAGAACCCAAAGTTAAGTGATCTTAGGAACAAGTAGTACTAATATGGGTGAACCCTTAGGAAGTTCTCACTTTGGGCTAATTTCCACACAAAACAACAACAACAACAACAATGATACCATGAGGCCAATGGGCCAAGGCACAAAATACCTCATGGGATTAAAGTAAATGTTAAAAAAATATTGAGTAGTCATCACAAGAATAGAAAACAATTCTTCTAACAAAGAAGTGTAGCCCTCATAGATGAGGTGAGAAGTGGTAATGCGGTCTCTTTGGTACATGGCCATATAACTTCAGCTCCTCTTCTGGGTGACTTTAAAACCTCTCCTTCCCCCTGAACTTTCTACATTTTGCTATTTGTTTTCTTCTATCTCTATCTCCCTCCCATCTGTGATAACCTTGTAGCTTTTTTTTTTCCATCATTTATAATGGATCATTCTTTCTCTTGGCATTCAACTCTAATTTGCTACTACAAAATTATGAGCAACTTACCTAAAAAACTATGTTTGCTAGGTTGACTTGGTTCAGTTTACATCATTGAAGAAACAATCTTTGCTACTGAAGTACAACAACTCATAAAACTTTTTTCCTATCCACAAAGCATCTGCTACATGAATCCTATGTCTCCTACCATTCTATTAAATGCTAGATGTCATATCTTTATTAATTACAATTGACTTAACTATTTGTTTACTATATCAACACAAGTTAATTCTGGTCTATCTAGACCTATAAGATTACACTCAAACTCAATAAGAATGGTCTAACTTTTCCTAACTAGAGCACTTACAAAGCTTCATTTAACAGGTCCAAGCCTTTTTAACCTATTTTCCCTTATTTTAGATTCAATAGACTACTTTGTGTCAAATCAGAAACTCAATCATGTCTAAACATGTCTTTCCTAATCTTAGCACGAATCCATCTTAGATCCCCATTCCCATTATGGGCATTTTATTAATATATGTTCCCCAACTACCTAACTAACAATCTTAGACAGAACGTTGGTCTTATATTTCTAGCTCTTACAAAAACTTCCTACTAAACTCAAGGTTATACTTATAAAACATTTTTCCGCTTAATCCATTCTCTTTAATTCTATAAATAAATCTTTCTCCCATTTCCCTTCCTACATACAATTATTATTGGTACCAAAACAACTTACTTTCATATTTCTAAAATGCCAACAGTAATTATTCCTTTGTTTACATCTTGTCCCTTACTAAAATTGTTCATTCATGTACTCTGTTTTGGTTCTATTTATCTGAAAGCAAAACCCTCTTACTAAGGTCACTCTCCCAAGTTCTCCGCTCATAGACATAGTTTGGGTTTTATTTATTTAAAAGTGAAACCCTCATGATACTAAGTTCATTCCCCAAAATATGTTAGTGGATCTATTAAAACTATCATCATCACAAAGTCTCATAAACCAAAGGCGATCATTTAATTCATCCACAATTAATACAATAAAGGCATTAAGATTTAGTTTTTAACTTTTTACACTGCGCCAAAACCTACAATGATAGGAAGTTACTAGTTTCCCTATGGTAGTTCTCACTAACAACACGGCCCCTTTACACGTCTTCATCTCAATATACCTATTTTTAAAGCCTTTCTTCTCCAAAATTGACCAAAAATAGATCTCTAGGAACTTTATCAATGCTTTTTTTCTAAATTCTAGATTTATAAAAATCATAAAATGATCTTAGGCCCAAAAACAAAAGGAATAATCCTTTATTAGCAATGACTTAAAATGGTGATTGCTTGGAAATGAAAGAAAAAACAATAATAAAAATAATAATACAAGCTTCCAATTACCATGTCTTCTTTATGTTAATTTACTAACTTCTAATTATTCAAAACTCATATTCCTAATACTTTGATTTTGATTTCTTCATGAGACTAGCATTGCACATTTCAACCGACGAGTGAGATGAGGTACCAAATAGTAATAGAAGAAAACAAGAATGGCAATAGAAAGGCAAATGCTCAGTGGAAAAAAATATAAAAGTTGTCTTACATTGAAGTCATCTACTATGATGATCATGTTTTATATTGTCAACCAAAAAAGAGCATCCAGGCTTTCTGTCTAAAGTACAGGATCTTGATTTGTATTAGAATTCATATTGTAAGAAGCAATCTAAGTAGAAATCCAAAAGCAAAGAGAAGTTGACCTCCAGTCAAGATCTTTAAGTAGCCAAGTAAGGACTTACAACAGTTAGTTTAATGATTTGATGTTGAATTTTGTGGCTTCACACATGATCATAAAGTGGAGAAAGTTATTGACTATCTTAATAGAGTAAACTGTCAAAATATAATTAAGAAACTTCTCACAAATAGAAAATCGTTTTATTTTGATAATTTCCTACAAATTATTTATAAAAAGATTTATAAGTTTGACAAATGAATCTTTATGTAATAGTGTGGGAAAATTTTGGTTGTATGACTTTTGAAAAAATAGAAAATCATTTCATTTTTTATAATCTACAAAATTATTTACCAAATGAAAGACTCAAAGATTTGGTAAAGAGCCTTTTATGTGGAAGCGTGGGCAAACTTTGGTGGCATTACTAGCCATGCAGCAAAATCAGAAAAACAAAAAAAAAAAAAAAAAAAAGGAAAAGAGTGCAAGACCACCCAATCTAACTTCATCTAGAAGGAAGCTTCATGGTTCAATTGTTAAAACAAAAGTATTTTATTCCACTTAAGCAGGAAAGCTTGAGTCAAATACCAAATCAGCCTATGTTTCATTTCAAATAATCTAGATACAAAAAAATGATTTTTAGTGTATTAAGCATAATGAAAGGATGAGGACTTATGTATAGCTACATGCTTTGGTCCAAATTTAACTTGGAAATGATATCAAACATGATATGGCAACAGACAAATGAAGGTAGTTGAAAATTTACACAATTGTTAATGTCAAAACTAGAAATGATCCCCTTCTACAATGTGCAGTGACCCAGTATTAGAGGGAAATGTGGCCCACCTTTGCAACATAGCTGTTATAGCTATCAACAGACTTAGAATGCAAGGTGGAGAAAACAAAGATAACCAATCAAATCTGTTCCTCTAACACTCTTCTTCCGTTTTTACATTATATCTCTATACTCTAAACAAGAAAATTCAGAACCAAGCCTGCCAAGATAAAATTGTCAAAGAGATCTAATTCTTTTCTTCATTTTCACATTCCATCTGTATGCTCTAAACAAGAAGATTCAAAAACAAGCACACAACTGACAAACTTATCAAACAGCATTGGACTAATAAACAAGATGATATGCGAGGAACAACAAGAAGATTTATGCAGAACGCTATGCCCATATAGTGCACATTTTTCCCCAGCATTATCAGATGTATATATTTACTACATTAATAGTTTAGTCATCAAACTGCCAAATGAAATAAAAAGAAGCAATGCTTACCTTTCT